CCACAGCGTGGCCTGACAAACGGTGCGTCGGTGCGCACCCGGGATCGGAACCCGGGCCGCCAGCAGCGGAGTGTGTGCACTTAACCGCTAAGCCACGGGGCCGGCCCCTCACAGCTTCATCTGTTACCTCTCCTTTCCAACTCTGTGCTCCAGGCACACAGGCCTTTTTTTGGTTCCCCAAACATGTCACAATCCTTTTCTTGGCTCAAGGTCTTATAGCGTACAACTCCTTCTCTCTGGAGCACTCTCCACTGCCTCCCCCAGTCCCTGCCTCCTTTCATCCTTCAGAGCTTGGCTTGAATATCACTTCTTCAAGAAGGCTTTTCCCAGTTAAGAGGATATATACATTATGATACCATGTATATGAAGTTTAAAACACACAAAACAATTTTATGTATCTTTTCTGAATGGATACATACATAGTAAAACTATGAATACAGGCATGGGAATTATAAATGGCAAATTCAGGGATTAGGAACAAGTATAGATTATATTTGTAATCTTTTATTTCTTAATGGGGGTAATGAATACAAGAGTGTTTGTTATATTTTTATCTACACTTATTTTAATGCTTGAAAGAGTTCAATCAAAAAGCAAGGAGCAGGGGTCAGGCTGGTCACGGAGAGGTTAAGTTCACACACTCCGTTTCGGCGGCCCAGGGTTCGTGGGTTCAGATTCCAGGTGCAGACCTACACACCACTCGTGAAAGCCGTGCTGTGGCAGCATCCCACATACAAAGTAGAGGAAGAGTGGCACAGATGTTAGCTCAGGGCCAATCTTCCTCACCAAAAAAAAAAGGAGCAGAACAAGGGTATAGATTGCTTTCATTTGTGTTTAAAAACAAGCAACTGAAGCATATAAATGTATAAGTATTTATAAAAAAAAATTAAAAACAGACAGAAAGAAAGAAAGCTTTCCCTGACTCCTTGGGCTTGGCCTATTCCCAAATGATATACTTTCACAGCAAATTGTACTTCTCTTTTGTAGCATTTAGCCCAACTGTAGTTTAAAAGACAATTTATCTGTCTTGTTGCCCTCTGTATTTCCACCATCGAGAAGCCCCGTCCCAGAACTCCAGTACAGAGCAGGCCCCATGAGCATCTTCACAGTGGGGACATCAAGCACCCACTGCCCTCAAACCAGAAGATCGACTCTTTGAGAAAGAGGCTGAATGGGCCTTGTTAGTGTCCAACAAGGAGTTGAAATTCTGCAATAAGTTGAAATGAAGTTTAATAAGGCTCCAATGTCAATACTCATCAGAGCACAGGCGTTTTGGAGTGTAAGTACAGTCTCAGAGTTATACTTCACAAGAGAGATGGTTAAAAATATAATTTTACAAACATGTCTTATAACTTTCCTTGCTTTGTATTGCTTCTGGGTTTCAATTTTTCAGATTTTATTTCTCTTTGACTAGGTAATACATTTACGTGGTTCAAAGATCAAAATAATCTATTCTTATTTCCCCTCCGTTCTCACACAGAAGGTAACATCCATATAGTCTGATCTGCATTTTGCTATTTTCACTTAACAATAGACCCTGGACACCTCTCTCTATCAGTGGTTTCTCAAGTCTGAATGCTAGGCACATTTTCTACAGAAGGCACCTAACTTATCCTGGGTAGTAAAGGGCAGCTATACGAATTGTTTGGCTAGAGGGAAGAGGAATATGAAAGAAAATGTGTATTTATAGTGATAAGCCAAGTCCTTGGCCCCAGGATCTCATCTTCAGTGGAGGCATCTAAAGCTTTGGTTGAGGCCTTCCTCCCTGAAGTCACCCAGAGATGCATGGAAACCTATCTATGACCTCTTTGAAGTCTCAGCTATAGGCAGAGTGAGTGTCTCAAGCTGACTCCCTATTTGCAGAGGGTCTAGCAGACTCTCCATCTCATCACTACTGTAGCTCCAGCATCTAGCATGGTGCCTGGCTCATAGGAGGAGCTCAATAAATATTTTTTTGGAATGAATTAATGCCTTCTCTTTGGCTGCCTTCGAACTGCCAAGAGTGGCTGGAGAAAAAACTCACAGTTGGGCAGATGCGTACTCCTCTAAACACTTGGCTTCTCACTACAGCTGGGACCTGAAAATTGCTCAGCAATCAAACTATGACCCTCTAGATCTGCGCTGTCCAATACAGTAGCCACTAGCCACATGAGGCTGCTGAGCACTTGAAATGTGGCCAGGCCAAACTGTGCTCTAAATGTAAAATTGGATTTCAAAGACTTAGAACAAAGATGGTGAAATATCTCACACATAATTTTTGTATATTGCTTTTGTGTTGAAGTAGCAGTTTGGATATTAAGTAAAATACATTCCTAATTCCACCTTTTCCTTCTTATGTTTTTTAATGTGGCTACTAGCAAATTTTAAATTATGTATGTGGCTTGCATTCTATTTTTCTGGACAGCACTGCTCTGGACAGCTCACTCGTCCCCTCTTCTTACAACAATTATCTCACGTCCCCTCAACTCTCAACGAACTGCTGAATTCCATTCTTCCCTCTCACTTGCAGATTAACCTGCCTATGACCTCCTACCGTCACACACACTAGATGAGAAATATGTCACCCTCCAAGTTTAACACAGCTGCCCGTGTCCGCCCTGTCCTCTTTCCCTCTTCCTGCAACAACGCAAGCGTCCCTTCTCCTGTCCACGGCCATTTCCTCTGTGTGTGCTGGATCACAACCTCCTCTTGCATTCTCAGAGATCCTGATCCAGCAGATACATCTCTCTCCTGTATCTTTAGCCTCTCCCTTCTGCACTGGCTCCTTTCTAGCAACGCTCTAACAATCTTTACTTCTATCTTAAAAAACACAAAAACAACAACAAAATGCAACCAGCCTTGAACCCCAAAGTCCCACCCAGCTATTCTCTTTCCTCCCCTTCACAGCAAAATGTCTTACAAAATTGTTCTCTCCATTTCCTCATCTTCTGTCCACTTCTTAACCCATTTCTTCTTAGCTTCCACCTCCACTACCCCCCTGAGACTACTCCAGTAAGAATGCCTATGGCCTTCAAGCCACTCAATTCAATAAACACTTTCCAGGCCCATCTTTCAGGACTTCTTAATAACAATGAACAGAGCAGAGGATTCCTTTAAATATTCTTTTACATTCCAGCAGTTTCTTTCTTTTTTGTAAACACCTCTTAAGCTTCTCCCTCTGGTCACTGGAACTCAGCACAACCTTTTAAATATGTAGTCACTTCTTGCTAAAAACTTTTTATGGTTTGCCAGTTCTTTTTTTTTTTTTTTTCTTCCCGGTTATTCTTAAGATAAAGTCCAAAATCCTTACAGATCTGCTGTGCTTCATGATGTAGTCTGGTCCCTGCTGACCTCTGCGGTCTCACTTCTCTCCGGGTTTCCCACTCCCTGCCTTCTTTCAGTTCCTAGAATACACCATCTTTCCTTTCTTCTCAGGGACTTTGCAAAAGCAGTTCGTTCTGCCAGGAATGCTCTTCCTCGGCATTACCTTTCTGCCCTTTAAATGGTCTAAGTTTGAAAGTCACTTCCTCAAGAAGCTCTCCCTAATCGCTTAACTGGGTCCCGTCTCCCCGTTATGCAGTGTTTCTCAACAAGCCAGCTGCTGCCCTATTGCACTCAGCGAAGCTGTGGGATGATCGGCCTCCTAAGGGTTAGGATCCTGGACAGATCCTAACGGGTTCCCAGTGCTCGATACACAGGGAACATCGAACGGATATGCACTTATCCCCACTTATTCGGAACATACCACTTCCCGCCCTGCAGGCTACGTGCCCAAGCCTGGTCCTGGACTCTCTCACCACCTTTCGGGTGCGACAGAGACCCTGCTCTGCTCTGCTCTGGGGTGGGCGTCCTGGGACTGAGAGGGGAGGAACTAACCAGATGTTCGGCTCTCGATCCTCTTTTGCCCGAAGACCCCAGCCTCAGTCCCCGTGTGGAAGGGCCTGAGCGGCCGCGGGGAATCCAGGCGCCAGTCGCATCCCTGGAGACCTCAGGCCACGGGCGGGTCTCCCAGGAGATGAGGACACTACCCACCGCTCGATTTCTACACCGTATGCGCATTTAAAAAACCGGAACGACTAAAAAGCGCTTTCCACATACCGTTAGAAAGCCTCGCCAACTTCCTTCCAGTCCGGAAGTGCTGCTGTTGTGGAACCGGAAGTAGTCGTGCGTCGCTTCCGGTCCGGCCTCCGGCGTCACGCTGCCATAGCAACACGCCTGCCTCCCTGGCGGTGGCACATGCGTAGATGCCTGCCCATTTTGTTCCTAGAGTGGCTGGGAGTGGGGTGGGGTAAGGCATGATCCCTAAAACTAAGGAAGTGGGACAGAATCGGGACAGAATTTTTGGATTGACTTAGTAATTCATGCGTGCATTCCATTAACTCAACACCTTTTTGCTGAGCTCCGTCTGTAGTCCAGGAGTGAACAAGATGGTGAGGTCCCTAACCTGAGGATGATAGACGCCAACAAATCAACCAAGATAATTTCAGATTATCCCATAAGGAAAATGAAACAGGGTAATGCGATGGAAAGTGAATGGGGGCAGTGAGTGCTACTTTCAATGGAAGGGAAGGCTCTTTGAGGAGTGACATTTGAGCCGAGTTCTAAATGAAAGGGGCGAGCAAAAATCTAGGCGGAAGAGTGTTCCAGGCTGGAAGCAAATCCAGAGGCCCTGAACTTGGTTGCTGGAGGACCTGAAAGAAGGCCACGGCAGCTGGAGCACAGCGAACGAAGGGGAGAGTGGTAGGAGATGAAGTCAGAGGTTGGCAGCAGCTGCCTAGTGCAGAGTCAGATGCACATCAAGCTTAGATGAAGGTTAGAGCTACAAGGAGCCTTGGAGATCTATTCCAATCCTCCCATTTCAACTGAGTCCTGAAGAAACTTGGCTTATGATTAAAAGTAAAGCTTTAACTAGGCCATCAAGTCAAGGCCAGTATACATACCTCTCAACCTTTTAGTTTTATTGCATAGTGAACATAACCATATTGGCAACTCGTTTTCTCATTTAATCCTATCACAACCCTCTGTTTTAGGCATCTTTATTAGGTACTATCAGCCTCCCCTTGTGGATGAGAAAACTAGGGGTTAACGTGACTTGTCCAAGGGGACTTCTGTGGCCCAGCCAGGATTCAGACCTGTGGTCTTTCCACTGCTCCACTGTTCTGTCCCCACTGCACCACCTGACTGCCTCTGTGTGAGCTGCCAAGCAGCTTTGATTAAAAGGTGCACGACCTATATTTCTGTGAAAGTCTGCAAGTGAAGCAGGCTGGAGAAACCATAAGCGTGCAGCGTACACACACACACACACCCCCGTCACCACCGAAGGGCTGCTCCAGGCCTTGCAGGAGCAGGTGGAAGTCTGTCTGCTCTGCTCTGTAAATGTGGTGTTGGTGTTCTCCATGGCTGGTATGGAAGCCCTTGGAGTTCAGGTTTGTTGTCTGTGCAGCTTGCGCAGTGGTGGACCCCTTTACCCAGAGTGCTGTAGATATTTGTACATTTAATGAAAATGATAGTGATGGATGAACGAACCCACAAAAGGCTGGAACTAGACTAGAAGGCAGACTAGAGATCATCCAGGCTAGTGGTTTCAAAAGCACTTCACGAATCACCTGGGAAGCTTTTAAAAACTGCAGATTCCCAACTTTGCCGTGGACTGCGTATTAGGCACTATTGTAGTATCACATGGAAATCCACGGACATGGTAATGACATTGTAGTTATGTACGAGAATATCCTTGTTCTTGGCAGATACATGCTGAAGTGTTTAGGGTCAAATACGATACTGCCTGCAGATATTTTCAAAATGATTCAGCAATGTGTGTGTGTGCATCGTCACACACACACACGAGCGCACACACACACAGAAAACAAATGAGGCAAATGCTAAGGACTGGTGAATCTAGGTGAAGTCTATATGGATTTTCATTGCACTCTTCTTCAATTTTTCTGTAGCTTTGAAATTTTTCAAAATAAAAACATCCGAGGGGGAGGGAAGAAATTTTTAAAAATTCAGATTCCCAGATCACATTTCCAGATATTCTGATTCAGTGAATCTGTATTTTCCAACTTTCCTCCATTCTATTGCACAAAGTTGGATACCAGCTCCTTTAACTCTAGACTTTACTCCCTAACCATTTCACAGAAGCAAAAAACTGAGGCTCCAACAGGGTGACTAATTCAAGATCACCCAGTGGATTCGCAATAGCATCAGGCCTGGAATGCGGATTTCTACTTCATCAGGAAACATTTAGCGCTCTGTCCCGGGGGTGTGCGGGTGGCGCAGGGAAGAGAAATGGGAAGGGGCGGTAAGTGGAGTTGGGGTGGGTGGAGGGAGGGTATTTTGATTCGGAAGTCAAGTGTAAATGGCTGTCTAGAGCCCCTTCGCTTTTTAACACAACAAATGGTGATTCTTGGGGTTTTGTCGTGTCTATTTAAGAAAACTCAAACAGGTCCACTTTGGTGGCCGCCAGTAGTTTCCCGAAAGAGAAAGGATCCGCACAGACCCAGCGCTGTTGGCGTCCCGTCGCCATGGAGATAGACCGTTCCATGCGTCCTTAAGGGGTGGTCTTGATTTTCTCTCCATTCCCAATCCGCAGCGCGGCGCCCAAAAGACACTCTGAGGAACCAGATGGCCTTACTTAAGGCTTCAAGGCTCCTTGCAACGAGGTGGCGATGCGAGGTGGGCGCGCCCCAATCCGGAGGGGGCCCGGCGTCCAGTGCCCACCCCGGGATCTGGGTGGTATGGCCCGGGACACACGGCGGGCGCCTAGGAGCTCCACGCCGGCCCCAAGCCAGAAAGTGCGCCCAATCCAGCCCGCGGGCTGACACCCCGCGACCCCCAGGATGCCAGAGGCCAGGAGCTCCTTCCAGGACCTCACGCGATGGAAGAAGAAGAAGCAGCCGGTGCGCCGCACGGTCAGCCAGATCTGCCCGCCCCCACGACGGCCGCTGACCGTGGCCGACATCCGGCCGGGCATGGAGAACGAGAGGCTGGGGGTCGTGCGCGATTCCATGTTTCAGAACCCGCTCATCGTCAAGGTGAGCCGCTCACACGCCCACCACCCTTTCACGCTCGCCCCCTCACTGGGCACCCACGCGGGGGTTTCCACCTGCCCTGGTCCGAGCGCAGCATTGGGGGCTCCAACTCGACTCCAGACAGACCTGGATTCCCGTGTGGTCACGGGCAGGTCGCATCGCCTCTCTGAGCCTCAGTTTCCTCATCCTCAAAGTGGGACGATAATGCCTCTCATTAAAGGGAATGATTGGGAAGATTGAATAGGGTAACCCCTGCGGGACTCCTGGCCCAGCGCCTGACATGCGGTAAGCGCACGATGTCGGCGGCTGCTATTTACCCTGGAGCCTGCTGCTGAACTCACAGGGTGACAGGTCGCACGCACCCAGACTGTCCTTACTCACCACCTGCCTCACCTCAGGGTGCAGGCCGCCTCCTCCCTTTGCCCTGCACGCCTGGGCTGCTACTATGCAGCAAGCCTTGTGTGTCTCTCCTGGAAGCGTCAGTTCACACGTTAATTTCAGCCCGCTCAAACTGATCCAGAAGAGAAAAAAAGCGCGAATCTCCGCCCTAGGAGGTCCGGCAGGCACGAGTGAGGGAGCTGCGTTTTCTAACCAGATCGCCTCCCCTTTTATTGCACGCTCCCTCACTTTAGTCTCGTTTCCGGACAGGTGATCACCCAGCACTAGCGTAGCATGGCCCAGTCTTCCCGGGGCCCCAGGAAAAGTCAGGTTGAGGTTTGGCGCTTGGGGAGCCGGTCACGGAGCAAATTTATCCTGCGCCACTGGAGGGCAGTGTCCTTTTAAAAATGCGCGCAGTTCCAGATGCCAGAAGTGGAAGGCGCCGGTGGTAACCATGGACTCAGCGACAATTATTTAACTGAACACCAGGCGCTGATTAGAGCCCAGAGTTTTTGTTGTTTGTTTCTGTTTTTGGTACAGGGAACCTAGGCCTTCTTAACATTGTGCTAGAATTAGCTGAGTGAATTCGTATCTGTGAAAACATTGACTCTCTCCTCTTGCCTTCCCCAAACTGTGCTGGGCCAGCACCCGGGAGAAGCTGGCTTATCACACTCCACACCCTTCTATTGAATATGCCCCTTTCTTAGGCACCACCCGCGCCAAGTGGAACAAGGTCTTTCACTTATTTCCAGGTGAGAAGAGCCATTCTAAGTGGACAGATGGGACAGAGGGGGTTCACGGTTCTGGGATCAAGGGCAGAATCAAATCCTCCCCTCTGATCAGCTGCTTTCATTTTAGGTCGTTGCTTTCACTTAGGTGGTTACTGGTGGGCCAGCTCCTTCCTGCTTAAAGAGAAAATGAAGTCATTCTCCACGGTGAATTAGGAGTGTGTGATGCCCACCCCAAGCTATATACATGCATATATACACGTATATACATACATACATATAGGCACATGCATAGATACAGAAACACATATACATACGCATACATTTTACATGCATATGTACACATATGTACATACATGTGTATATGTATAATATATGCATAGAGTACATATAGTATAAGTAAAAAATTTCCCTCACTTTTGTCATTTTGCTTGTCTCGAATATCAAGAAGGACAATATTTGGCCTCTGGATGGCACTAGCTGAACAGCTTTCAGAATGAATTCAATCCGTGATTTCTGAACCCAAACTTCAGGCTGGAAAATGTGCAGGAGATGACTGACCCACGACTAGGGGTTCTATCTTCAGGGCGTGAGACACAGAGCAGGACTTCCCTGGCCGGTGGTGACTGAGCCTGAGCAGCAGGGGCTAGGTCCAGGGGCTCTCTGGGGATTGTGCCCGGCTCTTCTGTCAGGGGCAGGCAGGGTGCAGAGGGCCTTTTCTTCTTACTTTCCACCCTCAGGTTCTTGATGGGTCATAAATACTTTCTGTAGTAGTCAAGATTATATCCACATTTCAATATTTACCAGCACTACAAGATTTTCTACCAAAACCTGACCTAAGTAAAAGCTGTGAACACATTGAGATGGAAAAGGAACCTTGACTGTTACCTTTTCTGAGCTTCCTTACAAATGGGTACACTGAGGCCGTCTGTGCTGGGCTCTTCACACGAGGTTTTGGCAGATCCTGGGTTACAGGCGATGTTCACTGGCTCCCAGCCCAGCATTATTTTTACCACACCAAACAGCTTCCTATATTTCAAAGAAAATTTAAAATATGAAAAAATTTTGGGGTTTTTGGCTTTAAAGAAAAGAGGATTGAAAGTCTTCAAGATTGTGGATCCTTTAAAAAATGTATTTTTCATATGTTGCTGAAATTTCTGTTGAGGCTTGGCTTGTGGATTTCTTCGTTGTGGCGTGTCAGTTTCACAAGGGGTCTTCAGACCCCTGTGTTAGTGTACGCCTTCTCATTATGTGTAGCAGAGGTGGGAGTGCCCTCCACTGTGGGTGTGTTTAGAACGATTAGAATGGGAGTATATTTTGGTTTTGTCTAAGTCTGAACCTGAAGGTTGCATCTATATTGGAAGAATATACCACCTTAGAAATAGTCATTTATTCCACCATATTAGAGGGTTGTTGCTCAGATTGTTTTTTCCAGTGAATAGGATGAGGATTTTTTTCATTTAAAATGCAGACACACTGCCTGAACAAACCCAACACTGCTATTTCGCACCTATGGAATTTACCAGGACGTATACACTTCAGTTATTGAAGAACATGTCTGCAAGATGCCACAGTAACCAAGTGAAAAGTGAAAAACTCAGAGATCCAAGCAGGTATTTTATCTACAAATGCTCCGTAACTATTTGCCTCGTTTAAAACCAAGCCAACTGGTTATTAGTGGGACCAACTGAATCAACTCAGTGTTTTATGTGGCCACAGAAAGATGTAAGTATTTTCCATTGGAAAGGGCTTCTACTCTGTTGTATAAAGTGATGTGCAGTTAGCTAGTTTTCCTTTAAATGTGACTCTCTGGGAAGAATAAAATGAAATAGAGAAAGAACCAAGATTCTCCCTGCTTGATTCTCATTTCCGCAGAATTCTGACTCAACATAGGATCCTGCTACAATAGCCTTCAAGGTTCCTTCACAGAACCTGTCAGGGTGCACCTTCCTGCCATCGGAACTCAGCTGATATCCTGTCAATACAATTATAGGGAGAGACTGCTTGGTTTGCTCCACTGACAGCCTTGAATCTTCTGTTGCCCTGGAGAGGCAGGCTGGGTACAGAGGTGGAATTTATTGAATCGAGCATCCTTAGATAGTGCAAATGATCATGGCACCCGATTTTTTTCATAATTTATTACTGACTTTGTTTTTCTGTAGGGGTTTATGTCACAAATAAGAAATGCATGCATTTGTAAAATAGAGTCATAAAATCACATCATTTGGGGCTGGAAGGAGGCTTACAGACATCTAGTCCAATTCCTTTCCTGAGGATATTAAGGGCCAGAGAGGGGAAGAGACTCGTCCAGGCTGCCCCTCTGATCTGGTTGCAGAAGTGGGATGAGATTCACGTCTCCTAACTTCCAGCCCCCTGCTGTTTTGGCCATGTATTAATTAATTAATTAATGACAACCCAGATTGGTTACATCTGTACAGCAGGCAGTCAAAAAATATTCACCAATGAATCTGATTCCAATATCATTTCACTCAACATTCCTTCCAAATTGAGCTCTACTAATTTCTCGGGGTTTGTTGACAGCCAAGGAATATTTATTGAGTGTTTACTCAGTGCCCAGCACCATCCTGAGCTCTCTTGGGGGCACAGAAACAAATTCAGAACTCAGCCCTTACCCGTAAGTAGTTAACTATTTAGCTGGGGAGACGGGTATATATGTCATGTATATATACACACACATACACAAACATTTATGTGTATATGTATGCAATATATATATATTTCATGAGCATGTATATTGCATATATACATTGCTCAGCACAGCACTTGCCTTAAAGAAAGCTCTCAGGAAATGTTAGCTCTTGTTGCGCGCGCACACACACATACACACACACACAAATGATAAGACAAGCAATGTCATGGGTCCCACCCTATAAGTTTTAAGTGAACTGCACTACCCAGAAGCGTTCAGATTTGCAGGGAGGATGCCCTGAGCAGGACTCGGGAGGCTTTATGAAGGAACAGACCGGGAACCGGACCCTGAAGGGTGAAGAACAGATTCCGATCAGAGGTGGACTGGAAAAAACTCAGTGCTCTGGGGCCGAATGATTCCACTCCCCTTAGATCCGAAGTGTTTGTAGGTTTTCATCTCAAGTCTGGTCCTAGTTTATGAGACTCAGCTGCTGGGATCATTATCATTATCATCACGAGGAAGCATTTATTTAGAGCCAGTGTGTTCAAACTGGATGCTCTACAAAATTAGGCAACCACACCATGCCCACTAATAGCTTAACATCTCTAATAAATATTGATGCTGGCGAACATAAACGGGTAGATAGAGACAAACGCAGAGAAGGCGGGCAGACAAACACTCGGTTGTACAAGTATCCCAGCGTGGGTCGGTATTTTTATTACATTTGAGTAAAATGTGAAAATGTTACATTCGGCTTTATCTGTCGAAGAGAATATACCTTTGATTGCTCAAATCCTTTTACATTCAATTACAACATAATAGGAGAAAATAAAATGTTAGGGAGGGGGATTAAAAACGAGCTGCCCACCCTAATGGCCCAGTCTCCGCTGGCCAGTGGGTAGGTTTCATTTTTCTAGGGAAAGCCCTGGGTTTATCTATCCTTGCAACTCTCTCTCCCAGTCCTTTTTTCTTTTTTCTTCTTTTTAAATCAAAGCCTCCCGCTTCCTGGCGCCCAGTCACATCCTTCGGTGAGCGAGCGGGGCTGAAGCAGTGCCCAGCCCCGTGGCCATTTCCGAAGGCCGAGTTGCTCTCTCACAGGCTTTTCGCCACCGCCCCAGGGGCAGCCGCTCTGATGGAGGAGCCCGCCTTCCTCTTTGTCCCTCTGGAAAAGGGTGCTTTGGCTTTGAAACGCTAATAAACATAAGACTCAGGAATTTGGGTTCCCCGGGTTGAACTCAGCCACTTTC